ACTGGGAGAGGGAGTGCCTGGCTTGCAGGTTTGGGAGAGTGAGGCTGGGGGTAATTTGCCCTACTGGCTCCACAGAGAAAACAAAGAAATGGAGCCAGGCTGGTGGTTAGACCCTTGCAACTTGACCTGAACCCGACAGGACACAACTACAAGTGTCCGGTTGGGACAAGTATAAAAACAACCCAACATGCTCATGCTTGGTTGGAGTTTGAACTGTCTGTGCTCTGGGCTTTACAATTAGGCCAGAGCAAACCTCTTCTCAAAGCTCCCCGGCCCTGGAAGAAGGGGTGGCTGACTGGAGAGAGATGGCTTGAGAGCCTTGGTCATCCAGGCCCACTTGGAAAGGGGAAGGGCTGGTACTTCTTCCCCCTCTTCCCACTTTTGGCTTCCTGAAAGTTTAGGACCCTTCTTGTGCGCTGCGGAAACATATTGATTTTTTCTTTGGACTATTATAACTCCCCTTGCAAAGGACAGAGACTCTGAATGGCACAGCCAAAGGGATGTGCCCCAGGGTCCAAGACAGTAGCAGTGCCCATCCTTTACCTATGGGGACACTAAAAGGTGTAGCCTGCTACAAATACTAGAGAATATAGGCGTTGACTTCCCAACCCTGACACTGGGGTAAATTAGAGGGAAATTAAAAGTCCGTACACGAGAGAGACAGAGCACCCAAGCAGAATTGGTCCTGAGCAGTGGTACGAGTCACTGACAGAGAGCCAGAGATAGCAGGCAACCCAGCAACAGCAATTCCAGCAGCAACTGTTGCAACAGTGCACCACTCAACAAGAGCTGCAGACAACCCAACAGCAGCAGCTGCTATGCAAGATGGTGAGCCAGCAGAAAGACTTGCAATAAAACCTGCTGTAACAGCTACTGTTGGAGCTAGTCTGGGCAGCCATGGATCTGATGACTGGGGCCGTGAGCCCAGGGCCAGTGTTTCCATCAGTGCCCTTTGTGATGCTGTAAACCAGGTGCCAGATCATGCCAAGTCTGTAGGCATCAGCTGATCACTGACAAACTCATAACTGGAAATCAAACCATCTTACCTGTATGTTATTCAAAATAGGTATTAGTCTTTTATCAGAATGTATTTAGTGTTTAGACTCTAATGCATATAACAATTTACAAGCATTTCATAATCTCACTTGTAATGTCTGTATTCCATGCCAAGAAAATATGTACGTTTTGCTTATAGGTTTGAAAATGTTGGCTCTAAACTTGTGAACCTAGGTATGGGAATCATCCCCTCCGCCTGTTCAGGAGGCCTGTCAAAATTAAACTGGCAATTAACGAACATTGCAATACAAAGATTAGTGAATGACCCAGTCACACCTTGGAAATGCTACATTCAAGGGAGCTCATCTCATGGGCTGGAAGTCTTAAAGATAAAATGGGCAAAAGTAAATTTTTCATCTCTTTGCTGTTTGAACTATCACAGGGCTAGAGACACTAAACTAAGGCAGAGATCCCCAGGGATTAGCCTTGGGTCCACCCTGAAAGACATTTTGAATTGAAAGATTACTATGTTTAGGAACCATAGATGGTAACTCATTTGCGTGTATATGCTTGCTTGCTTTAACCTGTAAATAACTCTCATATTTATTTTTCCTGGTTAATAAACCTTTAGTTAGCGTATTAAGGATTGGTTAGAAGCATTGTCTTTGGTGTGAGAACTGAAATATAAACTCATGTGACTGGCTCCCTGGGACTGGAAGTAACCTGGATATTTTGTGATCTTTGGTCCAACTTGCCTGGATGACAAGATAGAATGGAGAGCCTAGGGGACTGTGTTACTGGGTTGGTGAAATCTAATTACAGAGCATAGCACCAGTTTGGAGTGTCTGTCCTGAGGCAGGCACTCAATCATGAGCTACTCCATGAAAATTGCCTAGAAACTGCAGAGATGAGGGCAGAGGACAAAGTGGGGCTAATACGCTAACCCAGCCCGATATGAAGCCCAGGCAGAAGAGAACACACTCTGTTCATAAGGGACAAGTGCCCTCATCTTCAGCATCTCGTGATTTAGAATGACTGACTTTGGATGAGTCACAGCAACAAGCTAGGCAGGGCCTGGACAAAATCTAAAGAGTGTGGTTGGCGCCTTACACCGCTGTGATGAGGGAATAGTGTGAACTTAGATGCCAAACCACTAACAGACAAGGTTGATAGCAGGTGAGAGACTGGGCTCAGACCAAAACGTGGTTGCCTATTCTCATGTGGGCAGCAAGAACACTCCCAAAGAGAGTACCCCTTTATGGAATGTGAGTATCCCAAGGTTTGGACAGTGGAAAGCTGAGTGTGGAAGACCAGACCTGCCAAAGTAATGGTCCCTGTATGGATCAATGGGACAGAAGTGCAAGGTCGGTTGAACTCTGTATGTAGTCAGATCCTGGTGCAGACTCCCTTACCTGGGGCAGAAGGGACCCAGGGGAAATCATCTTCCTACAGTGCATTCACACTCATGTGAAGGCCTATTTCTGCAGATGCCTGTGGCTATCTGTAAGATGACATATGGCTCTACCTTCGCTGTTGTCCTATCCTGGGATTAGCAGTACCTGTGGGAAATTATCCATGAGCCAAGAAAATTGGATACAGTGGCTGCTGAACCCAGTTCTAGTACCTGGGGAAGATCCTGGAATGATGGATCTAGCTGAGTTAAGAGAATTAGGCAACCCCCTTTAGGGAAGTTCATGATTCACAGGTCATACATCCAGGTTGTAGACAGGAGTGGTAGCCAGGGGATTGCTGTTGTCAGATTTAGGGAGCTTTGGCTCATGACCCAGATTTTGTCTGGGAGCAAAGAGAAGACTTGGTGCTGAGCAGGGCCTACAACTAAATTGCTGCTGTGAATGACAAGGTGGTAGAACCCCAACATTTGTGGATGTTGCCCCAATTTATACTCTGAGGAGAACTATATCACGTCGAACATGATAAATGCACAGGGAAGAAGGGTTCCTCGATTGTACCACTGGATGCTTCTGCAACTAGTACATGATATCAGTTGTACTGGGCAGGAGAAGACTTGCATAGACTTCTGAAAAGTTAATTCAGTCTACGTTTGATGCATACCTGATACCATGAGCTGTTGGAACATTTAGGGTCTGCCCCAGGTATATCCGTATTTTAGATCTTATATGCGAATATGCATAGGGAGTGTGCAAGTATTTAAGATTTTGTCTGTAGTTAAAAATAAAAACTCTGGGTACAATAAAGAGAGATTCCTCTATAGAATTTTAAGAAGGGCATGACAACTTGGCATACAGTACAAATTCTCTGGCCAGGAGTAAATTTTAGGATTTTTCTACAACTTTACCACAAATATAAAAATCAGACACGATTTTTGTTCTGTTTTCTCTTTCTCTCCACTTTGTGTATTTTAACACTGTTTTACTATTGATGATGGTAAATCACTCCAAAAAAGAAAGTTTTAGAAAATGTATTTGGAAAATGTATTGCTAAATAGTTTCAAATTTCTGTACAGTATTAATGTAAACAAATGGCCAGGTCATCAGTCAGCAATGAGATGCTATTATCATCCTACACCTCAAGTCCTTGTATTTTTATGAAAACACTAATTAAACTAAATTTAATGACAGTCCATATGTAAAAAACAACAAGGAGTCTGGTGGCACCTTAAAGACTAACAGATTTATTTGGGCATAAGCTTTCGGGGGTAAAAACCTCACTTCTTCAGATGTATAGAGTGAAAGTTACAGATGCAGGCATTACATACTGACACATGGAGAGCAGGGAGTTACTTCGCAAGTGGAGAACCAGTGCTGACAGGGCCAATTCAATCAGGGTGGATGTAGTCCACTCCCAACAATAGATGAGGAGGTGTCAATTCCAGGAGAGGAAAAGCTGCTTCTGTAATAAGCCAGCCACTGCAAGTCCCTATTCAAGCCCAGATTAATGGTGTTAAATTTGCAAATGAATTTTAGTTCTGCTGTTTCTCTTTGAAGTCTGTTTCTGAAGTTTTTTTGTTCAATGATAATGACTTTTAAAGAGATTGAAGTGTTCACTTACTGGCTTTTGTATGTTACCATTCCTGATATCCGATTTGTGTCCATTTATTCTTTTGTGGAGGGACTTTCCGGTTTGGCCAATGTACATCTGCCATTGGAAGGAAGCAGCTTTTCCTCTCCCGGAATTGACACCTCCTCATCTATTGTTGGGAGTGGACTACATCCACCCTGATTGAATTGGCCCTGTCAGCACTGGTTCTCCACTTGTGAAGTAACTCCCTGCTCTCCATGTGTCAGTATGTAATGCCTGCATCTGTAACTTTCACTCTATGCATCTGAAGAAGTGAGGTTTTTACCCCCAAAAGCTTATGCCCAAATAAATCTGTTAGTTTTTAAGGTGCCACCAGACTCCTTGTTATTTTTGTAGATACAGACTAACATGGCTACCCCCTGATACTTGAGTCCATATGTAACAATGTGGTTTCATTTGTTTGTCTATTTGTTTGTTGTTGTAGAATTTAGAATGGCCTTTGACAGACGGTTTATTATTGAAGTGTTAGCTTTAGGGGCTTTTTAAAGAACATTTAAATTGTCAGTTAAAGGTAGTTTTGTTCCATATCGTGCTTTAACAGAAAAGTACAGGTGCATTTTCAATGAGGGTGGGAATACAAAATGAATGCTCAAAAAATAAATTTAAGCTGTTCAAAATTCTAGGCCAGCCTGGTTCTAAGAATAATATTAAAATATGCCTTGGCTTTTTCATGTCTTGTTCCTGTTCAGACCTCAGACACATTTTTAGACTGTTGGTTTGTTTTCCTCCTCTGATTGATGTTTATGGAAGCAGTTTGAGTTTAACAGGAATCTGAATTCATTTGAACTGAGATTTTTGGTAAGCAGAGGAGTGAACTGTGTTCTCAAAATATTTTTCTGTTTATTGAATCAGTTTAAAAAAACAAAGGCATAACAGATACATTTGATTAGTTTCTGTACACAAGGATAAATAGCTTTCTAACATATTGTCCTCCTTTCAAATAGGTTGTGAAGATGAGAAAAGAGGTGAAGAAGGCCAGAGTTCTTACCATTCGCAGACTCACCAGACACATTGCAAAACTTAAGTTAAAAAAGTTAGTTTTAATATTAATATTCCTTTAATTTTTTTAATTTTTAATGCTGCATTTATTTTAAATGACTTACATAAATATTGAATAAACTGTGGGGAAAAATGAGTGTCTACATAACATTATTTAACACACTACACATTTGAGGTGTGGGCAGTACATTAACTGGGCAGTACATTAACTGGATAGTTAATACTTTTATTAAGAACACTGTTTTTAGAATGGGATTGGTCTTGAACTGTACTTTTATGAATGTGCATTATTAAGTGTGTATGATGTAGTAAATCTTATTTATAGATTTGTGTCAACATTTTACTTATCTTAATATAGTCTAAGGTAATATGAATCTAAAGACAATTTCCCAAGCAGACTTGAAGTAAAGTTTTCAGAACTGCTTAAGTGACTTTCAGCCCAAGTCTCATTTTCAGAACTGGTTTAAACACTTGACCGAAGTAATTTTTAAAATGAGATTTAGACTAAATCACATAAGCATTTTAGAAAAGTTTATCCTTTTATGTTTTAGAACATCACTGTATTACAGAAAGCTTCAGCAGCTTCCTCAGTGCAAAGTTCAAAGTACTTCTGCAAATTTCAGTGCAAGGAGCACTTTTCAATATGCTTTGAACAAATAAGCACTTTTAATGTTTTAATCAGTGTTAATGTAATTAATCTTTCACATGGGGCAAAGTGATTTGTGACACTGTTAATACTGGAGACCAATGGAAGACGACAAATCTACTGTTGTGTTTAAAATGTGAAGAATACAGTTGGTTTTTTTAGACAGTTCACCCACTGTAGCAAATTTTGTAAGGTTTTTGGCAGTATCATGGCCTCCATTACATATTTAAATTTTGTAATGAACATTTAATTTTATTGTAAATTTTACTCAGCAAAGTACCTCTTGCCATCTAAATTTTCAGGATTCTATCTTCAGCTAGCTCACTTTTTTGTTGTTGTTATTGTTATTGTTGTTCTTTAATCCCTATCATCTCTTAAGGTTTGATTATTATATCCTATCTAGGGTCATTGAAAACTTAATCATAATGTACTTACACAAATTTTAGAAGGAAACTTTCAGCCTAATAATCATTCTTGGCCTTGATTCATCTCTTATCTAGTTTGAGCAATCTTGACTTAGACTGTGCTAAACAATTTATAATGTTCTCTAGACACTACATTTAATTCAACAGTTCCCATAGAGGATGCAGCAGATTCTTCTGATTTTAAAAAAATCCTTGCCAAAATGTTGCTATCAGATATATTACTACTTGCCATCACGTTTTTAGAATTATCATTGTATCTCTTGTGCATGCTAATTTCATCTGTAAAAGCTGGGGATGCATTGATGTTTCTGTGTCTAGTTGGTTGTTCTAAAAATTTACATTTAACATAAAATAGATGTGAACAGTAAAATAAAATTGTTTATTTTGACTTTTGTGATTTATTTTGCTGCAAATAGTAACTTCCTTGTTGGGAAATGATTGCAAATCAGTGTGTTACCCAGCTAAACACAGTCTTTATCTACAGGGGTTCAGAAGATGTGGTACTAAAGAACCAAAGGCGAGCAGAGAGATTACTAGAAGAAATTCATGCCATGAAGGTAATGTCTTCATATACATATAGTTAATATTTAGTGTCACTTATTTTAGTAACAAAAACCTGGGCCTGTTTTCTTGGAATGTGAAATCATGCATAGGTCTGTTTTGACTGTAAATGTAACAGGGTGGAACATTAAGAATATTTGCATATTCCATGTTTGTTGCTATACCTGTCAAGGTGTTAAACTAATTTGACTGAGACTTGCCAAACTAAACTTGCATCTGTTCAGAAATGCTCCATTGCCTGAAGCTCTCACTGTAACAGTTACAAATATAGGAATTTAAATATTTGTGCTGTTCAGGGTGTAGATCTGTTGAAATTGAAGTTGCAGTGCACTGATGAGACATTGAATCAGATATATTTTCCCCTCTTTAGACAGGGTGTTTGTTAGCATAACTTTCAAGTAATTCATTTCTCTAACACTGAGACATGTAATTAAATGTCTGGTTGTCTGTTTTATAACAGAACTTTAAAACCACATTCAACTAATAATTATCCTAATGACAGGTTGACTCCCCCTTTACTCTATTTCATAAAGTCCTAATTTCAAGTACACTGTATGAAGAAATAAAAATATTTTCAAGGGTCAGCGAGAGCTCACCGGACGCCGCCGGAACCGCGACGCTTTCCAAGAAAGTGTCTTTCGTAAGCTTGATTTAGAACTCTGGAATCTTGGAGCAATTGCATTCTTGTTGCTCCTGTTCATCATTTCCAGAGCAACACTCAAGCATCATCTTTGCATAGAAAAAGTCTAGGGGGGTTGAGCCCCAGTCTGAGGGACTTCTCTCCTCAGCCAGCGTAATGAGTTTTGAATTTCTGCACGGAGACCCTCTGCCTATTCATCTCTCTGAAAATTATCGACATTCAATTGGATTAAAAAATAGCATGCCTTTTTGTACTGATTCTTTCTCCATTTCTGGGATCTGCATCTCATTATTGACCAACAATTAAATAATTTCCGTCTAGCCACTGTTATCCTGAATTTTTTTTCCTTCCCTTTCTGCTGGTGGCATGTGTGACTGGAAGACATCTTAGTGCTTAATTACCTGGGAGATCTGCTGATCAGCGCTGTCTCCATTCAACACAATGAGAGTTGTAAATGCTCAGCCGTTTTCAGGATCAGACCTTTAACATAAGGAAAGGTTCAGTAACTAGGCCTGGAAAGTGAATTTTCCCAAATGTGTTTTCATGGTATGTGTATTATACATGCGTGTTAAAAATTTCTATCCAAATATACATTTTGTGTGCCTCATTTCTCTGCTTTGCATAACCAAACTAGTTTGGTGGAGGGGGTATTTTAGTTTTTCATTTAATTTTAAGAGAATTAAAGTTGCATGTCAGCATGCAAAAGTTCTAATATGGCCATGTTAGGCCTGAACTTTGTCGTTGTATGTGTTAGTAGTTCTTCTTAAACCTTTTCTGTACCTGGACCTCTTCCCCTTCCCCTGCATCCACTCTTCGATCCAGCCAGGACCACCCAACCCCTCTCCCCTCCAATTTAACAACATGGGAAGAGTAGAGTAGTTGCAACACTTTGACACCAGATTATGTGCTAATTTTATTTCTCAGATAATACAATAGCAGACAATGAACTAATTTTACAGCCAATCTACCATGTTGGAGGATAATGTTATCCCATACCTAAAGAACAACAAATATTGTGCCATGTTACAGAGACTTAATTTTTAAAAAAATCATATATAAATAGTCATAGAGGCAAATAATGGTGAATATGTTGAAACCCAAGGATATTTTGCCACTTGTAGATAGGAAGAGCTTTTTTCATTTACAGCAAATTTGTTCATAGAGTAAGTTATATGACTGTGGTTTGGAACAGCATTTGTTATTGATGCTTATGCATCTTGGGGTTTTTTTGGTAATGCAGGAGAATTAAAGGACAAGTAATCGCTTTAAATAACAGTGAAACGTGTTTAGAGTCATTGCATTTCTCAAGCACAGGAATTAGGAATGTGTTTTATGTGGGAGATGACAGTGGTTAAAAATTCCAGCTACGTGGATGCAAGAACTGGGTTAATTGTTTGCAGGAGTTTTCAGAGCTATTGGAATAGAACAGTGTTTTTGGACTCTTCTGACTTCATTTCACCAGAACTGAATAAAACATTTATTTTAATGTTTCTCAAAAGAAGGAAGAAAAAGAAAAGAACAGTATGATCCTTGGTAGCCTTTCCTATAAGCGATTTACTTTATAGAAATAAAAAAATGGCAAACTGGAAAGATAGGTATATTTTTAAAATAGTCTTTGCCTTGTTTGAAGGTATTTTCCAAAAGGATTATGGTTTGACTTTGCAGAGTTTTTTATCCTGTTTTTTAAAAAGTGTAATATTTAATAATCTAGCTTTCTTTACACGCTATACTGTCTAAATGTTAAACTAATCAGAAAATAACCTCTCAATTTTTAAAACTTTTTAACAGAAATTAGTACTTAGTGTCCAATATTTAACATACCTGATAAAAAAAAGTAAAACAATCACATTTGCACATTGTGTGATTTGCATTATTAGCTATTTACCATCATTGATTGACTGTGCCTCTTTTTTAAAAAAAAAAAAAAGGCACTCTTTTTTTTTAAGACTGATTTTGTTTTCTTATCCCAAACTTATCTGATAGAGAATCTCTGTAGTGGAATTATAAAGGAAGGGTAAAGCCCTCCCCATGATCAATAAAGGGAGATGTGTGGGTTCTACTTGCTGGTAGTGAGCAGCAGTTAACTGGCCAGTTCTACTAACAGAGCAAGAAGATGGCACACAATAGAAATTCAGCCCTTTCAATTTTTTCAAAATATTGTTGGAAGCCAGTGAAGCAATATAATCTCTTTATCTAGTATCCTTCATACACAGTGTGAGAATCCTTTAGGGACTCAATTATAGGCTAAAAAGGAAGGTTTTAAGATGAGATTTAAAGACAGGAAAAAACTTAGGGTGTGTGTGCTCGGCAGAGAAATTAAAGAATGAGTATATGAACAAAGGCAAGGTCAAGAGAGGTATGAACTGTAGTAATGCTCTGACGGTTATGAATAACAGATTTATAGGTAAAGTTGTTTGAGGGCATAACATGAGACTCCAGGATGATTTTAAGAGCATGAGCCTTGAGAAGAAAATTAAGATCTAAATTTGTGAAAGCCATAGAAGCAAGAGGAAGACCAAAGACAGGGTAGGCCCACTGCTTAGTGAAGAGGGAGAAACAGTAACAGGAAACTTGGAAATGGCGGAGATGCTTAATGACTTCTTTGTTTCGGTCTTCACCGAGAAGTCTGAAGGAATGCCTAACATAGTGAATGCTAATGGGAAGGGGGTAGGTTTAGCAGATAAAATAAAAAAGAACAAGTTAGATGCCTGCAAGTGACCCGGGCCTGATGAAATGCATCCTGGAATACTCAAGGAGCTAATAGAGGAGGTATCTGAGCCTCTAGCTATTATCTTTGGAAAATCATGGGAGACGGGAGAGATTCCAGAAGACTGGAAAAGGGCAAATATAGTGCCTATAAAATCTATAAATCTATAAAGAGGGAAATAAAAACAACCCAGGAAACTACAGACCAGTGAGTTTAACTTCTGTGCCAGGGCAGATAATGTATTAAATAATGAAGGAAATCACCTGCAAACACAAAGCAGGTGGTAAGGTGATAGC